AAAAAAAAAAAAAAGGAAAAAAAAAAAAAAAGGACTTAAAAACATAACTATATTTTTACATTTTTTATTTAAAAATGTATTCTGCCAGCGGGTCATAGACATGAGAGTAGTAAGTGCCACATGCAAACACTGCTTAGATGAGATCAGTTCTATGTCTATGCTCATAAAAAGCATGATTTTTTTTTTTTAAAGATATATTTTTGCTACAGGGCATGTGGGCTTGCTGGAGAGATGGAGAGGGAGAGAGAAAGTGAGAAATCTCTCCCCTACCTGGGGATGACCATTCAGCAACCCCTTCTTTTCCATCCTCCTCCTGAGATTTTGCGCAAACAAGCATGCTTGGAGTGAATTTTAAGCTGCCAGGTCCGGAACTCGAACTGCGGGAGACTAGTGGGAGCCCAGCTACTTAACCATTACGCCATCTGCTGGTCCCAAAACATGAACACTTTTATCTAAAATGTATATAACTTGCTACCTGTAAGTTGATGGGGCCGACGTCACTTATCAATTGTTAACACAAAACAATGAAGTGTTCTTATAGATATGCCCATAGCCCTTCTTTATCAGAATTCTATAGAAGGAACTCGTATTATGGCCAGATATAGGGCAAGGTCTTAAGAACTAAGTTCTTTTTTCTTTTTATACATCATACAGGATAGTTTTTCAGATAATCCCCAGAGATCAGACTGGAATAAGCAAAATCAAATTTTTCCTCATACTAAGTTCTTTATTGGCTCTCAGACCCTACCTTCTTAAAGTTACCCTCAACTTCCTCCTTGTCTCTGTACAGTTCTCTGATTCTATGAAGACCCACCTCCAGCGACCTGCCTCACATCTCTGGTCCTGGGTCACTGGAAAAGGCAAGGCACATTTTTGCGTAGAAAAACATGACTTTTCCAATAACCCAGTAGTTCCAGAATCCTTTCCCAACCAGACCTGAGCTGAGAAAAAGATATTACTACTCACCTCGCCAGTTCCTATTCTGCCTTTTTTCAAATCCAAGCAATTCTTTCCCTCCCACCCCGTGCTTCAACTCAGGAGACCAATTAACTCCACACCCACAAATGCTCCACAACCCACGTGCCGTGCAGTGAAGCCCTGAAGTAACACCCACGCCTGTGTCAGTAAACGTCATATCCAGTCATCTCACCACCGACTGCTGGGACAGTCTCCTAATATTCACCAGAAAACCCTAAACTGGGGCACGGGGCTAGTATCTACAAGAGATAAGAATTTGAAGTGAACTTGTGGGCAGAATGATGACTGAATATTAAGGGAGAAAGCAGAGGGAAAGTCTACCAACTACCATTCCCTCCCAAAGGAGTTTGCCGTCTTCTCAAAACGTTCCCAATCTGACCTGCTCCTTCCCCTGGGCTACCTGAACAGTCACGTGCACCTCCATCGTGGATGTGAGGTCACTGCACCACCACTATTTGGCAAAGGCAGCCGTAATGAGCTTTAAATCCCAAACTGAAATATACACTCAATTACTGAAGGACAGCAGGAGTAAGGGAATGACTCACACTTCTTTTCCTAGAAAAGCACTCAAGAAAATAATCACTTTATAGTCGAGGACCCTTCAAACTCAGGACAGAAGGAAACTCTGGAACCTGGAAACCCAGGACTCCTCACCTTATCATAGGAAGCGGTTGTGAGGTCGTCGTAGTCAGAAAGCCAGGGGTGGGCCTCGGCATCCCGTTTTGCCATCTCCTCCAACTCTGCCTGCAACTTGTCCCAGAAATCGACATCAGACTGTAAGGAAGGGGAGGCAGCTAGAGAAGAGATCCGTCATGGCCACCCACCCACCTTCAGCCCTACTGAGCTGGATTCGATTTCACTGTGTTCGAGAACCATCTGAAGAGCTTTATAAAAATGCAGATTCCCCGACCCTACCCCAGATTCTGATTCGGCAGTCTTGGGTAGCACCTGGGAATCTGCATTCTCCCCATCCCTGGCAATTCCAAGACGGGAAATATGACGCTCGCCCTCTTCAACATTAACACACCCTCCCTTCTCCAAGGAGTGTCCCCGTGGGGCATCTGCTCCTGCACTATCTACTCTCACCTCTATAGCTGACTTGGCTCGTTCAAACTCCATATCGAGAGAAGACGTGTTTCCTGGCCTTGTGAACTGGTCAACCCAGGCATCTGATGTACCCTGTGGCAAAGCAGCATGGTCAGAACTACTTCCGCCAACTTCCTACCCACCAAACACAGACTAAACACCCACCACACGCCACCAACCTGGTCGCTTCCAAGAACAATCTCAGAACCTCTTTCCCACCCACTCAGGACCTGGATGCTAACCAAGACAAGCTGGCAGTAAAATCCCTTCCCCATCTGGGACCTCTGAGCACTGAACCCAAGGCTGGGGCACCAACTGCTCTGACGGGGGACTGGGAAGTGGCAATGTCCTACCTGCTGCTGTATAAACTCTGCTGCCCACTGTTCTGCCTGAGCTCGGCCCGACCCTGCACCGGACTCCAAGGACACCTGCCCCTCGCCAATCTGCCGCACGAATTTCAGGAACTGGGCACAGAGACACACACGGGCCACTGGGGAGAGGACTTCCAGGTGTGCACTCTCAACCATGCCCAAGAGGACCCTGTGCTCGCCTCGCCCTCCCCTGACCATCGCTAGCTGGAGACAAGACAGGGTAAAGACCCTGAGAAAAGTAGAAAGCAAAAGAAAAGGGATTTCTGGCCCTAAAGATTTAAGGCAGGGTTGGGAGGGAAGGAAATGAGGGAATGAATATTGAATGTAAGTCCCAGTTTTGGGGACAGGAAGAATCAACCTAGGATCTCTTCTCTTTCTCTGAAAACTAAACGGGAGTAAGAAAAGCGAGACTCCTGCCTCCCAACCAGCTCTGCTGGGCAAAGCAGCAGCAGGATGTGGCTCACCTCGGAGTTGGCCAACTTGGGGTCATCGACCTTGGCCACAAATTCACTGGCCGTGTGCTGCAGATCCTCCTCGGGATGGTACTCATCGTACCTGGAACAGATGTCAGCAGCTGGTCTCACACACGGTTTGCCACCGCCTTCCCCTGCTCTTCTCACTCTGGCCCAGAGCAACTCCAGTGCAACGGGGGAGAGAGGGGAACACTCCACAAAGTCCAGTTCACATCAAGCAGGACACATCTGAGCAAAAGGGGGACGTGCCATGCACATCCTCGTTCCCAAACTTATCTTTGCAGAGAGAAGGAACAGACAGTAACAGGCTCAAAATTAAAAAGGGAAAAAGGGTAAAGAATGAAGTTATGTATTTTTGGTAGGCCAGTTAAGATTCTTGATTACATTTGAAACGAAAATTCACAGGTAATAATACAAGCAAAAAAACTTAAGAAATAAAGTAGGAGAAAAGGGGCTGCAAGCTACTTTGAGAATACAGATGGAGGAGGCTGGGAAGGCGGGCAAGTGCCCAGTGCTCCTTCCGCAGCGATCCAGAAACAGCTGGACTCACCAGCGATCAGTGGCAGCGGGTTCCCCGGGCGCTCCCCCCCACAGCCTCT